AACTTGTTCACCATATAAGAACTTGTTCGTTATACTTCAGAAGATTGGAGACTGTTGAGAACTAGGCTTGGGGTTGATTAATGATTGTGCATTGAGTCCCCTATACAGAATTTTATTGTTGTTAACAACCATTTGATCAATAAATATGAGAGATGCCCTCTCAAAAAAAAAATCATAAACACATTAAAGGCATTTCAGAATCTGAAAAAAAAAACATAGACTATGTCCAATCCTTTGGGGGCTACTGAGACTTGTTTATGGCCAGTATATGATCCATCTTGGTCAATGTTTCATGTGCACTTGAAAAGAGGTATATTCTGCAGATATCGGGTGTGTTGTTTTATAAATGTTAATTAGGTTAAATTGTATAATGTTTAAATCTTCCAATCCTTTCTGTCATTCTGTCCCTTCTATTATTAAGAGAGAGGTACTAAATTTTTTGGCTACAATTGTTGATTTGTCTATTTTTTGCCCTTTTGGTCTGTCACTTTCTGCTTCACGTATTTTGAAGTTTTGTTATTAGGGATATAAACCTTGAAAATTGTCATCCTGAAGGATCGATGATTTTACTATAAAATGCCATTTTCAATCTTTGGTAATTCTTTTATTTTGAAGTCTACTACATCAGAGTTATGAATGCCTCAGTTAATAATCATTTGTTTTGTGTGAAAATACACATAACATAAAATTTACCATCTTAACCATTTTTAAGTGTATAGTTTGGTGATATTAAATACATTCACATTGTTGTCAGCTATCACAACTATCCATCCCCATAACTCTTCACCTTGTAAAACTGAAAATCTATGCCTATTAAACAAAAATTCCCCATTTTCCTCCAGCCACTGGTAACCACCATTCTACTTTTGTCTCTATGATTTGGACTACTCTAAGCACCTCAAATGTGGACTCTTACATGGACTCATACACTATGTTCTTTTATGATGGGCTTATTTCACTCAGCACGATGTCCTCAAGGTTCATCCATGTTTCAGCATGTGTCAGAATTTCCAGCCTTTTTAAGGCTGAATAATATTGCATTGCATGTATATCTACTTGTACCTCAGTGGACAATTGAGTTGCTTCCACATTTTTAACTATTACGAATTATGTTATGAACATGGGTGTACAAATATCTCTTTTCAAGATCCTGCCTTTAACTCTTTTGGGACTGTACTCAGAAGTGGAATTGCTGGGTCATATGGAAGAAAATACTATTTTTAATTTTTTGAGCAACTTCCATCTTGTTTTGCATAGTGGCTATACCTTTTTATATTCCCACCAGCAGTGCACAAGGGTTCCAATTTCTCCACATCCTTGCCAACATTTGTTTTCTGGTTTTGGATAATAGCCATCCTCTTATGATTATTTGCATGGGATACTTTTTCTACTTTTAGTTTTAACCATTTGTCTTTTTATTTAACATGTCTCTTGCAAACATCATATACTTGAATCTTGCTGTTTTATCCAATTTCATTTAATTGGTCCTTAGTCATTACATTTAATGTAGTAACTATTGATATGGTTGGATTTAAGTCAACTATCTTGTTGTTTTCTATTTGTGCCATATGCTCTCTATTCATTTTTTTCCTTCCTGCCTGTGTTCTTTCAGATTAAACAAGTATATTTAGTACCACATTTTACTGCTTTTTTTGCTTCTTGTTTTACCTTTTTATTTTTAAGAAAATTGTTTCTTTAGGAATTACAATATGTATGTCCAGTGCCCTCCGTGAGAAGTCCACAGTCCTTATTATAGTTTATTTACAAAGATTCATGAGCTGATCCCTGCTTATATCTCCAGCTTTTCTCCCAAACCCTGCAAGTTCCAGTGATATTAGATTTGTTGCTGTTCATTTATGTTCTATACTGACTCTAATCTTCAAAGGCCAATAAATGCTTCCTTCTGTTTCTAACACCACACCCTTAGCTAACTAGGACTTATCCTTTAGAAATCAACCATCACTTTTTTAGTATTCAGGGTGAATGTGTGTATGTAGGCATGAAGGCTTCCTGCATGGGGCAATGCATGTGTTTGTGGAGGAGGGGTTAAACTTCCCAGCTGCATGCTTCCATGGCACCCAGTAATCCTTATCTTAATAGTCATCACATTTGTATATCCACCTTCACAATCAACCATGCAGGCCCACTGGTTTGTTCATCACTATATCCCAGCACTTTGCAAAGATCTGGCACAAAGTAATCGTTTAACAAGACTATTTATCAGAATTAAATAGAATGATATGACTTAAATGGAGAGAACTGCCTTATTTTACAGAACATAACATTGAGTTCCAAAAAGGTCATGAGAGCCACTCAAGGTCACAATGTTAGGGGCAAGGGCCAAATGAAGGCAGGAAGTGGAGTGGTCAGGAGACAGCCAAGTTTTCCCCACCATCTTTGTATTGAGGGCTCCTACTTATTTCTTTTCACGGAGAAAGGGGACTGTTCCTCTTCAAGGCTCTTGGAGGGCCTGTAGCTTGAGTGGTCTAGCTCACTTCCAAAACCCCAGAGTGTGTGGGGTCCACGTTAGAGTTCAACAAATCTTCTACAGAGTTCGAGAAAGTAAAGAGGAGAAATTACAGACTTTAGTGAAAAACTCTTATAGGGGAAGGATGTTTTAACGATGCCCTCGCCTTAATCCAGAAATGGTTTTCCATGGGACACAACCAGACATATATTTGCCAAGTAATCTCTGTAACTTTAACTACCTCAAAATCGAGAAACTAAGGTCGGGAGGCCGAGGGCGGCGCCCTCACGTGCCCGGGAGGGGAGGGGAAGGCTGGCAGGCCGCCCAGGGCGCTCGGGCCCAGAGCGCGGGGTGGGGAGTCGGCGGCCCGCCCCTTCCGCGCAGAGGTCTCAGCCCTGGGCGCCTTCCGCTTCTTCCGCTTCTCTCGCTGCTCCTCGGGCTGGCCGGCCAGTGGTGGGGGTCGGCGCATGGGGAGGGTCGGGGGAACCCCGGGGCGACAGCGTGTGCGCCCTCTAACGCGCAGGCCACACCGAGGCGGCGAACTGTGCCCGGGAGGCCGGGACCGGCGCGGACCGCCCCGCGGGCTTCGAGTCCGGGTGCCGGGACAGGGTTCACGGCCGTCCACCCCCAGGCACAGCCTCACAGAGGAAAGGCCACAACGCACGGCCACCACGCGTCTCCTCCAACTCGGCCAAGTAGGTGTGACCCCCGCTTTGCAGAGAAACGAGTCCTCGGGACCCCTTTGTGCGCAGGGTCGAGGACCCTCTGCAGAAGCCGCTGCCCTTCTATCTCGAAGCCCTAAGCACCGACTGACACTTTCTGTTCCGGCAGCCCGACGCGGCCTCTCGCCAGATCTCTCGGGGGCCCGGGCGCTGCGAGCTCTCGGGCCCGGGTTCCAGCCGCGGGACCCGCCAGCCCTGCGAGCTCTCGGGCCTGAGGGCGCACGGGTGGGCGGTGGGCCCGCCGCCGCCATGTGCCCTTCGCTTCCGCCGCGCTGCCTCCGGTGGGCCCGGGCTGATGGCAGGGGCTGCCTGCGGCGAGCGCTCGCGGAGCCCCGCCAACTGGGGGAGGACCCCACGGAAGACTTCGTGAAACACAATTTAACAGTGGGGCCCCCTGGGTTTCTGGGCAGCCGGCTGGCTGTCACCCTTCATTTGGTGTGCGGGGCTTGTTCCTCAGGACTAGGAAAATCGGCGAGGAGGTGTGGTATAGTAACATTTTACTGAACTATGGCTGTGAGCCAGGATTTGTTGCGAGTGCTTTTATCTACATTAACTCATATATTTATATCCTCACTGCTACCCAATGAGTAGTTATTAAGGTTACATCTACTGTGCAGATAAGGAAACTCGCTTACAAAGTACAGGAGCTCATATTCGCTTGCAGGATAAGACCATCCTCTCCTGGCACCCATGCTTCCCTCCATCCTGAGTGAAGACTGGCTCCTGGAGCTCTGCCTGCGATGCCTGCAATTATGGAGACCACCACTCTTCCTCTTGTCAGTTCCCACCCATCATCTGCTCCAGACCACCAAATAATCTCGCGCTGCCCTCTGCCCTTGTTTACACCAGTCACCACCAGACCCCGGGGACTTGATGCTGTTCCTGTTATAAGTCAGACATTTTTAACCTAGCTTTTTAAATTGAGGTCAGCAAGAATGGAAAAAGAAGGTTGGTGACCCTTAGGCTGCGGAATGAAAAACTACCACAGAAGTGAAACAAGTTGATAAGCTATATATTAACATCATGTAACAGTACAACCTCTGGTACCAAACAGATCCTTAGCAGGATTTACTTGCTGAAGCCAGTGCACCCATGGGTATGATTAACAAGGTACACAGGAAAGGGTGAGTGTGTAAGCTTAAGGGGGAGGCAGATAGAGAAGAAGGAGATAGAGAAGACTCCCAATTCATTTTTGATGCTATGGAAGGCCCTTGAACAGGCATTGAGTGCTTTTGTCTTTTTACAGATGTTCCCTCTCCCTCAGAAGGAACCCAAGGCACCTACTATCTGTCTGGGCCCAGCCTCCACACAGAACCTGGACAGTAACCATGGTGATGGTCTGGAAAGGGAATGCTCCAGAAGACCAGCCCAGAAGCGGCCAGAGGTCTATGGAGTGGGTGATCCCCTTGCCATGTTCTCCTCTGACAGCTCCCACCTGTCCTCTAGAGGAAGAATCATCAAATCGTTCTGGGACTCAGCTGAGGAGGGCTACAGGACCTGCCACAAGGATGAGTACGATGAGGATAAGAACCCCAGTGTGAGTGAAGCTCCCCTCTGCTGTGGCACCTGAGAGAAGATCGTAGGGTGGGATACCATGACCAGTAGGGCAGCACCCAGCTTGCTCTTGTCAGCTTGGAGTTATGGTCCTTTGATCTCTAAGAGGCTTCTGATGTCGCTAAGAGAGGCCCCAGTTTATTGCCTGGATCAAAAAATGGCCCATTTATAGTTAAGGGGATGCTGATTTGTGAAGGAGGAAATCAAGAACCATGGGATGTTCTTATATGAATTCTGACCCACTGCCCATCAACCATCCAACTTTAGAGCTGGGACAAAACTAGTGTTCAGGTCACAGCTGTTTCACTTATGGGTTATGTATCTGTGAGTTAATTATTTACCCTCTTTGAACCTCATTTCATTTCTAAAATGAGATAATGATACTCATTGTATAGAATAGTCACAATTAAATGAGATCAGGTTTGTAAGATTATTAGTACAGTGCTTCCACATAGAGCATTCAGTAACAGGTAGCTGCTATTGCCTGTCCTGATTTTAAGATCTCACCCTCAGCAGGCAGAGATGTCTCATGAATAACCCTTTGATAACCTTTATTTGTTGAGCAGCTGATCAGGTGCCAGGCATTGTTCTAAATGCCATGGTCACAGCAATGAGCAAGAACAAAGTTCCTGCCCTTATGGAATTTATGTTCTAATGGGGAAGATAGATAGTGAACAAACCAAAAAAAACCACATAATATGGGGTGAAATGTGCTGTAGAGAAAAATAAAGAAGGATGGGGTAGCCTGGGATGTTGCTGTTTTATGTAAGGTGGTCACAGCAGGCCTTTCAAAAGGGGACAGTTGAATGGAGACTTGAAAAAAGTAAGAGACCGTATTAGTTATCTATTGCTGTGTGGCAAATTACCTCAACTCTTAGCAGCTTAAAAATAAGCATTACAATTTTGGGGGTCCAGGATCAGAGTCAAAATCTACTGTGAAGTTGCAGTGAGGCAGGGCTGTGGTCTCATCTGAAGGCTTGACTTCATAGGGGGACAGGAGAGAGGATCCACTCCCAAGTTCACTCACATGGTTGCTGGCAGGCCTCAGTCCCTCCCCACAGGGGCTTCTCTGTAACTGCCTCATTACATATCAGCTGCCTTCTTTCAGGGCTCGTGATCCAAGAGAGGACAAGAGATCATGAGTACCCAAGTCAGAAGCCACAGACTATAGCCTAATCTTGGAACTGACACTTTTGCATACTCTATTCACAAGTAGCGGGTCACTACATCCAGCCCACACTCAAGAAGAAGGGATTCCACAGGGTGTGAATATCAGGAGCTGGGGATCACTGGGAGACCTGAGAAGCTGCCCATCACAGTAAGCCCTCTGGATGTCCCAGGGGGAAATGCTCCAGACAGAGGGAACAGCCAGCGCAAAGGCCCCAGGTAGAGCTGTGCTTAATGAGTTCAAGGACAACACGGGGACCTCTGTGGCTGGAGCAAAGTGAGACCAGCAGGAGATGAGATAAGAAAGGTAATGGGGTGGGGATGGTAATAGATCCTGCAGGCCCTCATAGAACTTGCTAAGGTTTGTGATTTTAGTAAAGTGTTCAGAGGAGGAGCAATGTGATCTGATTTTGGTTTTAGAAAGAATGTACAAAGTAAATTGGTGCTCAGGACCATTGTGTGGAGATCAAACTTGCAGGGTGAGAGAGTGGACAAGAAAAGAAGTAGGGAAGCACAGACATATACAAGAAAGTTGGGTGGCTTGACCAGGGTCTTAACAGTAGAGGGTAAAAGGTGCTTGAACTGTGCATGTATTTTGAAGGTGTCAGTGACAGGATTTGCAGACAGAAGGCTGGTGGTGGAGGAGGCTACTGGTTGCCACTGAGGCATGAAAGAGCACTGCCTTTTATTCAAGCTCTACTTTTATATCCTCCCTCCTTCCTCATCCCTGCCAATAACTCCGGGGTCAGGAGTTACAGCGCTTGGGTCTCTGGGGACTCTGCAGTGGACAACTTGAGCTGTGTCTTCCTCTCTTCTCTTCTGAGAATAAATGCTGTAGAGGGTGGGATCAAGGTGTTGTGTGATACTCTGTGGGTCACCTGGGGAGCATTTCCACCAGCACAGGGGCTCCTCTTGTTCTACATTCACCCTTGTTCTTGCCTGAGCACCAATTTACTTTGTACATTCTTTCATCCTAAACTGAACCCTACTGAGCCCCTTGAGAGTTACAGTGGCATCTCAGGCTTGTATCTACCCTGCAGGGATCTCACCATCTAGTAGGGGAGATAAAACATGTACACCAGGGCCTGCGACTTGGTTGCACAAACTGAGCCATGCTCTGAATGGTGACAGATAAAGAGCTTTGGGGTCCAGAAGAGGAAAAGATCTCTTCTAGATGGGGTTTTGGAGAAGGCCTCCTGAAGGAGATGGCATTCGAACATAGCTTTAGAAATGGGAAGTTGGGATCAGGGAGCTGGGTGGAGGGCATGGCTGGAACAGAAGCAAAGAAGGGTGGTGGGAAAGGCAGGATTGCAGAGAGCTGCCACTTGGCTGCCCTGGGCTCCTCGGGCCTCTCATTGGCACTGCTCAGCCATGCTCACCCTGCCTCTGTATCTCTGTCTCCAGGGCATCATTAACTTGGGCACTGGTGAAAACAAGCTCTGCTTTGACCTTCTGTCCAAGCGGGTAAGTCCCAGTGTACCTCTAGGTGGTATCAGCTGTAAGGGGCTGTCTTTTCTGAAAGCCAGAACCCTTCCCACATGAGAGCCTGCTACTTGCCTTGGCAGCCCTGGCCTGCCCCAGGTTCCAGGTCTGCCTTGGGGACAACTTTCTTTGTGACCTTGTGCAAGTCATTTTTCTACTCTGATCCTGCTTCCTCATTTCATCAGGCTCCTCTCCTCACGTAGTCCCTCCTGCCTGCTGGGTTCCCGCTCTCAGAGAGAAACCTCAGTACTGTATGGCCAGTATTTAACAACTGGCTGCAGGAGAGAAGGGACCCTGGTTTGTCACTTTTGCCAATTCCCATAGTGTAAATACCCCTACCATGGCTGATTTCAAGCTGCTGATGTGACATCACTGCATGAGGCATTGGGAAGAGATGCAGTGGCACTCATGGGGTGGTGTCCTGGCCCTCTGGCACATAGGAAGACATAACCTCAAGAGCATGGATGATAGTAAAATGTAGAAACATCACGAGAAGCAATGATGTTTGAGTTATTACCTTTATCACCTTTGTTTTAATGCAATTTACTTAATTTTAAGTTTATATAACTTAATTTTTTTTAAATGACTGCTTTTTAACACAGCTTGCAAAATTCCTGAACATTTAATAAGCAGATTTCCTGAGCTGGTGGGAGCCATTGCTAGCAAATCACTGGAAATACCTGATCAATATGTCTCCCAAGGCCTTGGAGTCAGAGTTTGGTGTTCTACAGAGAGCAATGCCTAATCCAAAGGAACATGTTTCCAAAGGTGACAGATCCAAGCCCCAAGGGGAGAAGAGCTTTAGGAGTGGGTTTGAAAGACCTGTTTTTCCTAAAGCCAGCCCCCGACTCACAGGTAGCTCAGCACCATCCAATAGAAATAAAATGTGAGCCACATATATAATTGAAAATTTTCTATTAAGTCAAAGAAACTGGTAAACTTGTTTTAATAATATGTTTTATTTAGCCCAATATATCCCAAATAGGATCGTTTCAACATATAATCAATGTGAAAAAATTAGAGGTATTTTACATACTTTTTTCCTATCAAATCTTTAAAATCCATTGTGTCTCAGTTCAGACTAGCCACATTCCAATTGCTCACTAGCCACATGTGGCTAGTGGCTTCTGTGTGGGACAGTGCGGCTCTGAGGAATGAAGGGAGGGAGGGTAAAGGCTGGAGTTATAGACAAGTGGCTGATTACTTCTCTCCTTTTGGTCCCACTGCCCAAGGCCCCTGCCTTCGCTTGGCATTGGGTGTATGATGTCCTGGGAGTCACTGAGCCAGCATCTAGTCAGGGTAGCAATGGTCTAGAAACTGCCATGTTTTCAAAGGTGTAAGGTCAGGTGATCCTGCAGGAAGATCCTCCAGAAGTCAGAACCATGGCTGAAGTGATGGGACCTTTTCTGTCACCCCCATTGAGAAGCTGAGTAGCATGGTCTCCTATCACTGTTCCACAAACAAACCTCTTTGCTTTCTTAGGTGGCAATATTATAGAAAGGACACTGGATTAGGAGTTGAAAATTCTGGGTTTTGTCTCAGCTCTGCCACGTGCTAGCTCTGTGACTTTGGCTGAGTCACCTCACTTTTTTGGACCTAATTTTCCTGATCTACAAAGTGGGCACAAGAATGCTGTCACTCTCCCACTTTCTCTGAAGAGCAGACCAAGCCCTTTGCTTTGGAGGCCCTGGTGCTGTGTGGATTCGGGGGGCAGCACGGGCCTCACTATGAGGGCGCATGGCCCTCAGCCCTGCTCTTTGCTCTCTGTCCCTAGCTGAGTCAGAGCGACATGCTGCATGTGGAGCCTTCCCTGCTACAGTACCCTGACTGGAGGGGACATCTGTTGTAAGTAATTGTCATAAGCTGGTGGCTCTCAGCCCTGGGTGGTTTTGCTCCTCGGAGGACATATGACAATGTCTGGAGACACTTTTGGTCGTTATTGCTGGGAGGTGGGTGCTACTGGCATTTACTGCGTGCAGATAAGAGGTGCTGCTAAATCTCCTGTGATGCCCAGGATAGCCCCCACAGCAAAAAATTATCCCACCCCAAATGTGAATCATGGCAGCCTGAGAAAGCCTGCCATAGGCTGACGGCCTAGTCCTGGAGATCTGGCCTTCATGGGGCTTCCAGGAGCATTTGTAGGAAACTAGTGCCTCTGCCAGGCCTATGCTGGCTCAGGAGCTCCTCTCTAGGTCTGAGGCAAGGGAAGGGTCTTCAGGTGCAGAGTCTTTGTCCCTACTTTCTCAGAGCTTTAGAGAAACCAGAGTCAGCTTTGGGTGAGCTGGCTGGGGCCTCTTCCTCCTGGTAAGATGGGAGGTGGTACATAATTATTAAGCACTTGCAAGGGGCCAGATGCTGTTCTAAGGTCTTAGTGGCCAAGCAAGACTTGATTCCAAAATGCATGTTCTTACAGTATTTAGGATGGTGGCCCCTGAAATCAGACCACAGGGCTTGAGTGTGGACTCTGCCTCTTACCAGCAAATGACTTAATTCCTTCAAAGCCTCAGTTTCCTTATCTGTTAAATGGGTATAATAATAGTTATGGGTAATAGAATAGGAGTGTGATATATGGGTATAGTGTGATTATAGTTATAATATGATGGGTAATAAAATAGTAGTCATTGTATCATATTGTGATGAGAATTAAATGAGTAAAATTCTCCAAATAATGCCTGCATAAATGCTCAATAAATATTAGCAATAATAACTATAATAGTTATTGTTATAATAACATGCTTATGATTTTAAAAAAATTTTTACTATTAGCTACATCCACATATAGAATGTTACTTTTGGTGTCCCTAGGTCTGCTGATTTGGTGGGGTGGGGTTGGGATGGGGTGTCCTAGAACTACAGAGAATGAAAGTTTCCATGTGTGCTGGTTATGGTGGGGGCAGGAGGGAAGGTGGATGGCCAGGAGAGCTGCCAGAGGAGCTTTGGAGCAGACTGTGGGTTGGGGGCCCACTGACAAACACTACCCATCTGTCTGTTCGATTTCCAGCCTCCGGGAGGAAGTGGCCAGATTCCTCTCTTTCTACTGCAAAAGCCCTGCACCCCTTAAACCAGAGAATGTGAGTAGCTCCCCGCCCCTGCTCTCTCCTACTTTTCTGCCTACCTCACCAACTTTTGGCTGACCAGGACTAAGGTGGGATTGGGATCTGCCTTTCACTTTGTTTTAATTTGTTTCCAAGTGGATTTAGGAATACCTCCCCCTTTTTTCTCCTTCATCCTGTATATTTAGAGTTTGGGTATAATTTCTGCCCCACTTTGTTCTGTGGTCCCTTTTCATCTCCCACGTGTGGGAAAGACCCTCAGAGTGACCAGCTCCCTCTGCCTTACTTAGTTGATCTCAAACAGGGTCCCCATGAATGAACATGTAAATGAATTTGGCTGTTAGTCAGGAAGGGCTGTCGGGTGCCTCTGGTGGCCTTGCTGTGATAGACCCCAAAGGGCACTAAGCTGGGACCTGGCTGTGCCATCCTGGATGGAGCCACAGGTCCTTGCTGCCTCCTGGAACAGATTTTCATCTTTGTCCCATGAATGTGTCACCCTCAGGTGGTGATTCTGAATGGCTGTGCGTCTCTCTTCTCTGCTCTGGCTACGGTGCTGTGTGAGGTGGAGGGTATGTGAAGTATGGCCTGCTTGGTATTGGGGGTCCCCAGTTGCCTGTCTTCCAGGGCTGCATCAGGGTGCTGTTGGTCTATTATGGTAATAGACTACTAGACTACAGGGGCTTAAATAAGTGGCTTGGGAAGACACCCAGGGCTCAGCAGTTTCTGGGCAAGTCATTGTGACGCCAGGGTTCTGGGCTGCCTGGGATGACCTTGGCCTTTCCTTCACATTCACTGATGGCTGCTGCATCCTCCCTTGACAGTGAGGCCTAAAGCAGGGAGAAAGGGATGAGGTGCTGTGTTGTCTGGTCTCTTTTTTAGCAGGAGTAGAAAAGGGGGTACTCTTGCTCAGAAAAACCCCAGCAGAGCTTCCCCACATCTTACTGCTTACTGGCCAGAACTGACTGACAGACCCACTGCAAGCAGTCTCTGGGAAAGGGTACTAAGAACCAAAACAAACTTGTTTCATTCCCCAGGGCCAGGAGAAGGCCCACCTTCCTCAGACTTACTGCTGCTCATATCTGAAAAATCTGGCACTGTCTTAGCAAGGAACAGCATTGGAAAGGCTGCTGAATCGGCAGCCAGCGGTGCCGGCTATGAGCGTAGTCATTAAATCCGGGATTATTAGTTGCCAGGAACAGAGAGAGGCCCACTCATGCTAGCTCCACTAATACTGAAACTGTTAGTAACATTTATTGACCACATACTACGTTGCAGGCACTGGCCAAAGGCTTTTCACATAGTCTGTCATTTACCCTCACAACACCTCTGTGAGGTGGGTTAGGTGGTTAGCCACACTTCACAGGTGAGGAGATTAAGGCACAGATGTTAAGTAATTTGTCAAAATCCCAGAGAGAGAGTGAGCACCAAGGGTTTGAACCACAAAAGGAAGATTCATTGCAAGGATATGATAGGCAATTTCCTACCCATTCCAGAACAATGGAGAACGAAGTCAGAATCACACTCTCCATCTCTCCTTTAGGTAGGCAGTTGCTACACCCACCTCATACTTTTTTTAATGCCGGCCTCTCTCTGGACCTTCCTCAACTCCTCTGTAGCCCATTGTAGCTGCTCCCGCTCCAACTCTATATGACCTTTCTGTTCAAGGGCACAAGAACTTTTGTTTTCATCTTATGAGTGTCTGGATTCTTAGAGCAAAGTCCTGAGGGAGAGGGAGCATGTGATGGGCTTCTTAGAGCAAGGCCTTGAGAAAGAGCATGTGATGGGCTTCTGGTCAGCCAGTGAACTGACTCCCTTGGGTCATTGGTCTTCCTCTGGTCCTATCCTCCTGGCCAAAGGAGGGAACATGGAAGACAAAGACTGCCCCTTTCCAGGCTGCAAGGGGAGTGGAATGTACTAAAGGGGCAGTTGGGGAGGGAGGTCAGCTTGACCTGTGTGTCCTCTTCAGAGCTGGAGGGATGCCTTGATCTCTGTGTTAAAGTAGATCTTGGAGGCCGTCTCATCAACCCCTGCCCACAGCTAGAGTCTTCTGTATGACATCACCTCCACACCAAATAGTCTCGGCCTTTTGTTCAAATGCCCCCAGCGAGAGAGAATCCACTCCTCATGAACACATTCTATCTCTGGGCAATTCTATATGTTGTCAAGTGTCACTCTGCAGCTTCAGCTCACTGTATTCAAGTCTGCTTGGGGAGTGACCCTGCTTCAGAGGGATGCTCTAAGCTTCCATTCCCTCATCAGTAAAGCTAAGATGATAATAGTACCTACTTCACAGAGTGATTGTAAAGAGCAAATAAGATAAGATGCAAATAAATGTTTTTTTAATTGGGCACATAGTAAGTGCTTAATAAACACTGGTGACAAATCATTAGAAAAGGTACTGATCTCAGTGGATCCGAGCTTTAGAAAGAGTTTGAGAGGTAAGAGAGGGAGGATGCCCCAAATGTTCCCCCCAGGGTGTTTAAGGCTTAGAGAGGTGTGGGGCTAGTAGACGGGGTGACTGGGCATTCAAGCTAGAGAGTAACAGGCCCTGGCCCACTTTGTCCCCAGAGGCTTTCCTGATCCCTGCCCCTTACTATGGAGCCATCACACAGCACGTCTATCTCTACGGCAATGTCCGACTGGTCTATGTCTATTTGGACAGTGAGGTAAGCGTTCTGGGGACCCAGGTAGGACCTGGGCCATCCTGAGCCCAAGACTTTTGTGCATTGGTTTGAGGGTGGATATGGAAAAGAAGTCTATGCTGAGGGCTCTGGGGTTACAGCTGAAAGTGGGGAGTAGAGCCTTCTGGGTTCCTGGCTGCCTGTGCCTGGCTTATCCAGGGGCTCCCATGTTCCCAGTTCTGAGATCCCTGGGGTTGATGTAGACACCAAGGGCAGCCCAAGGCATTGATAAAAAATGGTGGGGTGAGAGCAGGGCAGATCAGACCTCAACACAGAAGTCCTTGGACCCCAATCAAAAAATGCCTGGGGACTCTCCCTGAAACCTAAGAGTGATGAGGGGTATACCTGATGGGATGGAATGGGGTAGATGTCAGTGAGAGAGGGGACACCCCACCTGTGTCTTTCCAGAGCCTGTTCTAAGGAGGCTGGAGATGCTGGGTGGGAGAGGTCCCAGAAGTTCAGGTTTGCAGGATCACTGCATTTGGCTGGTGGTTTCTGTGCATCATTTTTCAGGTTACTGGGCTGCACACACGCCCCTTCCAGCTCACAGTGGAGAAACTGGAGATGGCCATGCAAGGAGCCAATTCTGAGGTCTGGGGATCAAATCAAAGCCAAGGGTGGGAGTGGGTGGGTCTAAGCAGGTCATGGACTTCCTGTGGTTGGTCTCCTCCAGCAAGTAGGGTTAGCCCTCTGTGATAGGGGTGGGGTATAGGGTGGTAGTGTGGAACCATCTGAGGGTCAAGAAGGAGCCTGCCCACGGAGGGGCTTCCCACTAGAGAAAGACTCTGAGACCTCGTTGTACAAGGAATCAACCAGGGAACTTGATCAACAATCCCACCCCTCAATTCTGATTCATCAGGTCAAGTGTAAAGCTTAGGAGTCTGTAGTTTAACAGTCTCCCTGGTGGTGTGGGAAGGTGGTCTTCCCTCACTTTGAGGGGCTCTGAGCCTCCTGAGGAAGGGCAGAGACCAGCAGTACTCCAGCAGGTCCTTTCCAGTCCACTTTTCAAAAATCTGTCAACCTGTTTTTTTTTACCATGGCCATTAAAGCTGTACATGCCCATTGTAGGGAGTTTAAAAGTACAAAATCCCTCCCTGTAATTCTACCTACAAAGGCAACCCTTCCTGGTGTTTGGGCCTATTTCCCTCTGAGTTTTGTTCTGTGAGTTACTTTATTTTGTAGTTGACATGGTACTGCAGATGTGATTCTCTGCCTTGTTTGCATTGTGCTGGGTTCATGTCACATTTCCCTGGGAGCCCACTCGCTGGCCGGCCCCATCCAGTGGGACTGTGTGGCTTTGGCCATTGGGAGGAACTGAGGTTCTCCTACCCCACCAATGGTTTTAGGGTGTGAAGGTCAGAGGCCTCATCCTCATCAACCCCCAGAACCCACTGGGTGACATCTACTCCCCAGGAGAGCTGCTGGACTACCTGGAATTTGCCAAGAGGTGAGGCACCCCACACTCACCAGACAGAGCTATGGGAAAGTCAGGGTTCTGATGCAGGCCCTTCTGACTGCTTCTACCTGTTCTGGCCCCTGCCGTGCAGTGAGGTGGGGGTGAGGATTTGTGGAAGGCCAGGGCTTTCTCTTTCCCTCTCTTTTTATAACAACAGCTATTGTTTAGTGTATACTCTAGGGTCAGGCTCAGCACTTCACTTGCTGTATCTCATGTAAGCCTCCCAACAACCCAATGAGGTTGAGATACTGTTATTATCCCCAGTTTACTGAGCCTCAGAGTGAGGGCTGGAGCCAGCCTTGAGTCTGAGTCTGTCTGTATTTCACTGTCTTACACTTGACTGTGACCTTCCTCCCTGGAGGTGCCTGAGGGCTTTATCTCCCCCGCAGTGCTGTGAAAGCCCCACTGTCACCTGCTTTTTGTGTGTGGCTTCCTGTTTGAAAAAATAGACAAAAGAAGGTTGTGTCTCTGGACGTTTGCTAACTCTGGGCTAGACTGGGGTCCATCTCGATTTCTAATTCACTGCTATCCCAACTTGGGGGACATATTTGGCCTACAAACCGAGTTCTTTTCTCCCCGATATCTGCAATTCAGGTATGAGCTGCATGTGATGGTGGATGAGATCTACATGCTGTCCGTGTTTGAGGAGTCGGCCAGGTATCACAGTGTCCTAAGCCTGGAGAGGTGAGCTGTCCTGCCAGGGCTCTCTGCTGAGTCCCTCCTGCGTAGTGCCCTGGCTCCTCTGTGGCTTGGCGCATAGGATATGACCTGCTGTAGAGTGATTCCTCCTCCTTCAGTTGGTCCCTGTCCTCACACCCTCTAATAGGAAGGTGGGAGGGCTAGGCTGGGTCAGTGGTTTTCATACTGTTCTGTGGGGTTTCTGAGAGCTCCAAGGAATGGCCTTAGGATTCCTTGAGGGAGCACTGTGTGTGGGGAAACTGGCCTCCTTTGCTGTTTACCAGAGTAGCTCCAGTTTCATTCATTCATTCATACAGCAAAAAAACTGCTGGAGCCCCTTGCATGTGTCAAGCATTTCTGTCTATTTGGGCTTTTTCATTAAATTAGGTGAACTAAGAATTTGTGGCCAAAACACCCTTGGAAACACTTGGACTAGATAGTCTTAAGCCTGTGAATACGACATTCAGAGATTCTAACAGTTGCTGATATTTGTTCAGACCTTTGACCCTGCTACATCCTTCCTGTTAGTTTGTTCAGCCAGTCCTCACAAAGACCTGCCAAGCAGATAAAGCCTGTGTCATTACTCCTCTTGACTTATGGATCAGGAGAGTGAGGCAGAGAAAATGTTAATTTTTACCTGCTGTGCTCCGGACACTATGCTAGGTGTTGGGGATTCAACAGTGAACAAGAAAGACATAGATCCTTCTTATGTGGAACTTTTATTTCCAACCAGAAAAAGACATTTTATCAGATAAATACACAGCTAATCATTTGATGACAGTTGTGATAAGCACTAAAAAGGGGAAATGTGAGAGCTGCGAGAGGACCTGCTTGGGGAACCTGGTTGGCCCGGTCTCCAGGAGATGATCTGAGAAGGGTGTTTGAGGAAGTGACACTTGAGCTGTACTCTAGAGCAGAGGTTGGCACATATTTTGGGATCAGATGCAAATATTTTAGGCTTCATAGGCCGTATGCTCTCTCAGTCAATTCTGTCATTATAGCATGAAAGCAGTCATAGAGAGTACATACACAAAAGAGCATAGCTGTGTTCTGATAAAGCTTTATGAACAGGCAGCAGGCCTGATTTGGCCTGCGGGCTGTAGTTTGCTGCTCTAAAGGATGCACAGGAATTGGTGATTCAAGAGATGAAACCAGGGCTTGACACAGAACCAGAACCAGATTCATACATGCATCTCCTCATTTGTTCAACTAAATACGTGGGGTGTGAGCTCCTGTGGGTCTGTGTGACTTCTGCTCCCATGCTGTGCTCTCTGCAGGCTGCCTGACCCCCAGAGGACCCATGTGATGTGGGCCACGAGCAAGGTGGGTTCTTGGCTGGCCTCAAAAGTATCAGAGAAGTGGGAGGGCAGAGATGTGGGGGCGACAGGTGTCCTCTGAGGAGGGCCACCATGGGTGCCTTTCTCCTGCAGGACTTCGGGATGTCCGGGCTCCGCTTCGGCACGCTGTACTCAGAAAACCAGGATGTGGCCACTGCAGTGGCTTCCCTCTGCCGCTATCACAGTCTCAGTGGCTTGGTCCAGTACCAGATGGCACAGCTGCTCCGGGACCGTGGTGACTGCCTGGGCCTGGTCACTTGAGAATGGGGACAGGGTGGTGGTCAGTCTGGGACTGGCTGGGGACCAGGAAAGCTTCCTGAATGAGAAGAATTTAGGGTGGTGGTTGAGGGTGCCAGCCCTGGGCTCAGGCTGGGTTCATCATCTACCGGTCAATTCCTGGCTGGATGGCACATTCCTTCACCTCCCTGAGCTTCAGTTTTCTCATGTGTAAAACAGGGGTCATGACAGTACCTGTCTTGTATGGTTAGTGTGATTTGTCATTCAATTAGTACCTGCCGTAGAATGGTACTTGGTCAGCGTGAACTCATTATTAGCTGTGAGCACTTGAAAAAAAGAGTAGAAGCTACAAAGGGAAAATTATTATAATGGAAGTATCTCTCTCTGTGTGTATCTATTCTGTTCCTAGGTTCAGAGAGTTTAGATAGCAAAGGTTACCCATAATTGCCACCATTTATTGAGCCCTGCTGGATGCTCTCAATATACCATCTTTTTTGCCCCTCCTTAGAACCATGTTCCTATGTTTTCCCCATTATTTTATAGATGAGAAAAATGAGGACCAGATACTATATACCTGCTACAACAGTAAAAAAAAAAAATAATGACAACATCAAGTATTGTTAAGGATCTGGAGCAGCTGGAACACTTATACACTGCCAGTGGGAATGTAAGATGGTACAGCCATTTGGGAAAACAATTTGACAGTTGTTTAGAAAGTTAAACATGTATACCAGATGGCTCAGCAGTCTCAGTCCTAGATATTTACCTTTATGGGCACACAAAAACCTCTATGTGAATGTTTATAGCTGCTTTAATTGTAGCAACCTAAACTGAAACAAACCAAATGTCCTTCCATGGACAAAAGGAGACGCAAACTCTGGTCCATCCACACAGTGGAACACTGCTCTGCAGTAAAGTCCATGACTGCACAGTAATCCCAAAGGCATTGTGCTGAGTGAAGCAAGCCAGTTTCAGAAGATTAGTGCAAGACTTCACTTATAGGACATTCTGGAGAAGGCAAAACTCTAGTGGTGGAGAACGGACCAATGGTCATGTCAAAGGGGATGATGTGACTATAAACAGATAACACGACGTGCTCTCTGTGGCATGGGAGCTACTCATATCTGCCTGTGATGGGGGTTACATGAATCTATATACATGTTAAAATTCATTGAATGGGACACCAGAAAATTTTTTTTTTAAAGAGGACAAGGGAGGTGAAGTTGCCCAAGGCCTCACACCTTGTCAGTGGCCACGCTGGCATCTGAACCTCAGCCTGTGTGTCTCAAAAGCATCACTTTATGAGTGGGTCAACCTTTGGTGAAGGTCTGCATCCAGGGGGAATTTGTGTCTGCGGGGACTGAAGCTGTCAGGACCAAGTATCTGGATTTCAGGTGCTTCACACCGAATACTGAATGTTCCCATTGCCCCCAGTCAACCTGCCTCAGGGGGTGGATCTTGGCAGCTCATGGTCTTTTTCTTTTCATCTATGCAGGACAGAAGGGAGAGTTGATGGGATATTTATCTTCTGGCTTATCTTTCCCTCAAACAGACTGGATCAACCAGGTGTACCTGCCGGAGAACCATGCCCGTCTCAAGGCTGCCCATGCCTATGTCTCAGGGGAGCTCAAGGCCCTGGGGATCCCCTTCCTGAGCCGGGGGGCAGGCTTATTCATCTGGGTGGACTTGAGGAAGGTAATGCATGTGGAGCTGCAGGCTGAGGGGAGGTTAAGCCCCACCAGTAAGGGAGGGCCAGGGGTGTCTCGTCTGCATCTGAGCCCCTTCCACCCTCCCAGTACCTGCCTGAGGCCACCTTTGAGGAGGAGATGCTGCTCTGGCACTGCTTTTTGGACAATAAGGTGATGCTATCTTCTGGCAAGACCTTTGGGTGTAAAGAGCCTGGCTGGTTCCGCTTGGTCTTCTCAGACAAGGCCCCCCGGCTTAGTGTGGGTGAGCAACCTCACTTCCTAACTGCATCCTTCATTCTGTCCCCCTCCTCTGGTGCTGCCCGGAGCAGCCTCAGCTGGTTCACCCCCCACCCCTCCACCCAGCCACCAGTGCTGATGGGACTGTCACTTCCCCTTCCCAGGGATGCAGAGGGTCCGGCAGGTTCTTGAGGGCAAATCCCAGGTGGCAGAAGACCCGCCTTCCTGTCAGATCCAGGAGCCACGGGCCAGTACAGGTGAGCTGGTGGTTGTATCATGAGAGGTCCTGGCAACCACTGCTGACCGGGCCCTTTTGAGGCTGCAAAGACTGACAGAGAAGCCGTTGGCCAGGAGGCCATCCGGTTTGGCCTTGGCTCCTGAAGAAGAACTGTTCCCTGCCTCTCAATGGCAGCGACAAGCTCCTTAAGCTGAGGTTTGACCACATCCATCCCCCTTCCTCTCTATTAAATAAAACTGGAAGAAATGAGAAGTCTGTATTGTGGTGATTTACAGAATGGAGGAGTCATGACTGCTCCTGAGCACAGCGCTCAGCCCCCGTGAGGACGTGAAAAGAAAACAACCTGTACCCGCTTTTGCTAGCGGCTTCCTGCCTCATCTGTTGCCAGGGAAACAAGTCCGAAGAACAACACATATAAGAAAGAGTATGTCCCCTCCCCCGCAAAAAAGCGTGGTAATTCCCAAACTACAAGAAGAAAGGAGTACTTCTGTATGTTCAGGTTGTACATATGATGTGTGGGCCCACAGCACCTCTGGTACCTAGGACCTGGGACAGGCCTATGCTTGAGATGTGAACAGGAAGCCATTGCGGGAGTCAGGAGGGTCCTCTCTGACTCCAGGATGCTCTTCCTCCTCCTCCTTCCTTCCAAGGGGCTGCCAGGTCACTGCTGATCCTGAACCAGATGGCCTGTCTGTGACAGGGGCAATGGTCTGGGGCTGCAGCCCGAACCAAAGCTGCTGTGGAGAGGATCTGGCATTTCCACCGTAGACATGCAAAAGCTGCCCACCCCCTCCCCAAGGGTGCATTCATTCAGAACCTAAAAGAGCTTTTTGAATGAAGCTTAAAACTTGCTGAGGACCCTTCTCTGGTGCCAGCACTCATCTTTAGAATACCTGTCCCTTTCCTTGTTCCTCTTTAAAGAGAATGTCCGTGAAATCAGAATTTTACTTTCTGTAAACCAGCTATTTGGTTTCGGATTTGTTTTCCTTTTTCTTTCTGCCTTTCATTCTTTCCTTTTCCCCATCTTTTCCTGAATGCCTTGCATGTGGCAGACACTGTGCAGGATAATTTACATGCATTATTTCTAATTCTAATAACCCTGGGAAACTGATAATTATGCTCCATTCTAGAGATGAGAAAACTGAATCTTGATGAGATGGAATGATGTTCCCAAAGTCATGTAGCTAAAAGGTTATCAGAGCCAGGATTCAAAGAGTAGTTCGGTTCCACATTGTATACTCTTTCCACTCCGCCAAAGCAGGTACCAGCAGGGTTCCTTGCCTCTTTCCAGTCCTGAGACTCAGGCTTCGTGTTGTCATCATCATCATCACCTTTAATTACTTCTCCATGTCCTTGGCTAAGTAGCACTCCTTTCTAGCCCACTTTCAGGAAACATTGGTACAAGGATTTGTTTTGCTGGGATGCCTTCAGTTCTTACAGTGGGTGAGAACAGGACATCCATGTTGTGAGCCCTCTGCATACTCCAAAAACTCACTGCGCCACTGCCATTGTTATTCAAGCTCCCCCTGGAGGGACCCATGTGATAAGTCCCATTTGGAATTCTCAGAAGAGTGACTCCTGGTTCTTCCTTAGAGGAAACCCAAGCTGGCTTCCCCACAGAGGCTGTTGGAACCAGGAGTCTGGGCCCGAATTATCTCACCTGTTTGAGGGGGCAGGAGGAGTCCTTCAACCCCAGCTGGCTTGTGCTCTGCTGAGTGCATGTGCCCCATATGATCCCTCTATGGAGTATAGATCAGACTATTCCACACCTTCCATCTCATATCCTCTCTGCTCTCCTTTCTGCTCTGCCCGTTACTGCAGCCAGCCAGCTAGGTGTGTGTGCGGCCCAGTGGCACCGCACCTGCAATGCACATAACTCTGTTCCAGGCTTCTCTCTTGCAAAACCATGGGATATGTGCAGACTGGGACTCTAAGGGTGTTTACAGTTCCAGGCAATCCCAAAGCAATGGGGGACAGGAGCCCCTGGGTAAATAGCCCTCTCCTCTGAGCAGGTGACAATTCTGGGATTCTGCATGGCCCCTCAAAGACCTCCAGTGGGCATAACTCCAGTGTCCACAGCAGTAGCCAGCTCTGTAACACACCCCTGGATTACCTTGCTCTTTTTTTCTGGTTCACTCATTCCCATCTTTTCATTTTTCCTTAACATTGTGTCCCAGCTTAACTACATGCATCAAGCTTCTCTCTCAGGGAACTCAGCAAAACAGAGTATAAATGATAGGTGAAGAGCATCCACCAGGTTTCCGCCAGGCTCGAGCTACTTGCCCTAACAACCTTGAGAAGCAGTGCTAGGTTTGCGCATCAAAGGCAGCAGATGCTTACCTAGTGATTTCTGTGAATCCTTGCAAGAATCTTCTACTATTGATAATTACAAAGGAAATGTTTTCCATAGGGAAAAAATGTTTCCTTTTTTCAGTGAGAATCCCTAAGCTATCATATTACTTGAGACTCTTTTGTTTGCAGATGAACTAAACTGGTAGAAATACCTCATATTAAACAAAAGCAGAGTTGGAGGATTTACCAAATTAACTAGGAAGGGAAAAGACAGATGTTTCAAACCAGGAGTTCAAATGATGCTGTCAGATTTTGTGTTCTCTTCTTGTTTTTTTCTATATGGCTTCATTTCCAGACATGCTCCATTCAGGTGGTAGAAAGATGGCTTCCAGACTGCTCCAAGTTACATGGTTCTGACAGCAGACATCTACAGGGTATTAGAAAGATAACCTTTCTTCCTCTGCATTCATTCATTCCCATAGGAGGCCAACTGGCCTTACCTCAGTCATCTGCCCATCCAAGGGAATGTGATAGTTGGAACTCAACTTCTATTCATCTGTGTTGGCTTTTCTCCTTCAAGCTTATTTCCTCATGGTCTCAATCTGGCTATAGAAGCTCCAAACATCACCTCCTCACCAACCACTTCCACAGACACTCTGTTAACCACCAATTTATTCTCTGTAAGTTTTTTTTTGTTTGTTTTTAGATTCCACATATAAGAGAGATCCTATGGTATTTGTCATTCTCTAATGACTGGTTTTATTTTTGTGCAGCATGATGTCATCGAAGTTCACTCATGGTGTTGCAAATGACAAGACTTCATTCTTTTTTATGGCTGAATAATATTCTAGTGTGGCGTGTGTGTGTGCCACTATATCTTTATCCAGTCATCCACATATTGTGACTATTATAAATAATGCTGCAGTGAATATGGGGGATAAGTACCTAGTTTTAATCTCCAAATTTGTTATTTTTATAGTTTTATAGTCAGTATTTGCTTTGATTTATCCATGAGTTTATCAATTTCATTGTTTGCCATCCCTCCTTCATCTCAGTACTTTCTTCTGGTTTAATATTCTTTTTTCTGAAATACATCATCATCAAGAAATTCTGTTAGGAAGGATTTATTGATGGTAAATTCTATTTGTGTTTATCTGAAAATGACTTTCTTTTTCTTGAAAGATAGGTATACAATTGTACTCTAACTGCTATCTGCTCTTGGCATTTTTCCGATGATCTTATGATTTCTGTTTCGCTTTTGTTGAGAAGTCTGCTGTTAGTCTTATTGGCTATCTATTATAGGGGCTCATCTCTGCCCACTAGTGGAAAATTCTTAGTTGCTATCTGCTTGGATACTGCTTCTACTTTATTTTCTCTGTTCCCTCCTCTGGATATATGCCATGTTTTTTTTCCTTTACCCTCCCTCTCTTTTAACTTCCTGGTCCTATATTCCACCTCTTTATTTCTTCTCTAATTTGCATTCTGGGTAATCTATTCAGTTCTATATACCAGTTCTTTAGTTGTGTATTGTTTAACTTATGCCTTGAGTTTTTAATTTTAATTTTTATATTTAGTACTTTTTTGATTCCCTCAGTCTTTTGAAAAAACATATCTTGTTTCTGTCTAATGTTTACCAGTTCCATCTTTTGAACACCATAAACATACTTATTTTGTATCTAATTCTCAGAATCCAATTATCTGTAGTTCTTGGAGAGTTCTTAAATTTCTGCTGTTTGTATTTTCTAATGACTGATTTATTTTTCACATTCTTTGGCATTCCAGACAGTGAGCTTCTGTGTGTCAGGGGTTTATCTACAGGATCCTGGGTGGCCTTTACTGAGGGTGTGACCGTCCAAACCAGATTTGTTTCTTTCCTTCAGTTGCTTTCAGGTGCTACCAATCTGGGTTGGTAACACTTAATGATACTCTCTAGGCTTGGAGCTTCCTGGACCAGGCTTGTAGTATAAATTAAAATCCTACATTGTTGTGAAGCTTGATGTTAAAAATTCTCAGCAGGGCCCCTCCTTTTTCAACTCTATGAACAAGAGAGACAGATTTTTTTGTTTGTTACAGTTACTAATGTGGAGCAAATTTTTCCAGCCATCTCAGCAGCCGCACTTTACCTGTGTTTCTCTGTATCAGCTCTCACCTTATAGACCCAAGCTGTAGCTTCCATACTGAGTTCTCTCACTTCAGCTTCCTTTTTGGCTCCTGCATATTTTCTATATGTGTTTTGTGAGATCAGCTGTCCATTTGAGAGAATGTTCATTATACTTTATTTGGTATTGATGGGTGTTTTCTAGTCCACCAGGCCGCCTTCCAGTATTGTTTGAGCTGAGGCAACATAAAATATCACAGAAGAATTCTTTCTTGGGGCCTTTTTCCTTGAAGAATATACCTTTTTCCATCTTAAAAACTGTTGTTAAAGAAGTGGTAGATCTGGGATTTAATTCCACAGTAGCAATTCCTCCTAATTGTAAACTTGCTTACCCCCGAAGATGCCACTTTCCTTGAAAACCATGCCTTTTCTAACCCTCACGCCTCTCTTCCTGACTTACTGGGTAAGTGTGTGTCTCTGTGGTCTTTGCTTTGTCCTGTAACTTCAAAGTGACTAATGAAACATCTGTCTACAGCCTCTCCTGTTTTAACTACTGACAACCAAGACTTTTCTACCTTCTCAGAGACTTCAGATCCTGGCTCACAATTTTCTTTCCCACTCTTTTGCCATCATCTTGAGCTACTTTAGCATCAGGTATCTTCTAATATCACAGCTTCTAGACTTTCTCACCTCCAATTACTTCATGATTTCTGCCTCTAGAATGTAGCTACACCATTTTAGCCACATTGCATGAAAGTCATCTTGCTCTTTCTCCTTCCTTCTTTATCACATCTGTGCCTGGGCTCCTGATTTTTCCTCTGCCTGGAATGCCCTATTCAACTCTCCATTTGTCAGAATC